GGCCCTACTGCAGCCGCCTGCAAGCAGAGAAGAGTTCTTTGCTGAATGTCCGAGAGAAGGTGAAGCTGGACGTGGAATTCAAGCGGTTGCAGGACAGGCTTAAATTCAAACAGTGGTTATAAGTAGTTAAAGTTATGTAGTCAATTCTGTTTAGGGCTATGTTATGAGTCTTGGTCCATGGGTATTTACGGTTATTGACCGCGGATAATCATGCATTGATTCTTAACTTCGCCACAACCCCTTAAGCTTATAAGAGAACAAGTGCAGCAAAGCTGCTTTACATCGCTTCAAACAACCACATATATCCCTATTAAGACAGGTGCAACAAAACCGTTTAAAACCGTTTTGCAACCCTGTAAATCACAAAACACAATAGCCCAAAACCGTTTAAAACCGTTTAAAACCGTTTGGCAAGTTGATAGGTTTTTACGGGGAAGCCAAACCGTTTAAAACCGTTTTGGAACGCGCAACATGAGCTGGTATAATATCAACTATATAGACTTATAACTTATAGCTGTGTCAAGACTATAACTATATATCACCATATGTCATTTACGACTATAGATTGACAAATAGTGGTGGTCTTGTGCATAATTTCGTTATGGTTAAACAACTACATACAAATAAGTAATGAGGCCATCAACATCTGGCAAAACGCATTTGGATAGGTATTCTTGAAACAACCCCCCCTTTCTAGGCGAAAACTGTGTTGAAACTTGACTTTAACCCCTAAACCCTAAACACTAACCTCATGCCAACACACCTAAGGTGAGCACTATCATCTTCATGTCCGTATGTGTGCATGCAACTATTTTGGTATGCTGTCAAAGCCATGCCATGCTTCTATCTGGTTGACAGTTCGACATCTGAGGGTCAGATGGTTTGGTGATAGCAACACGAAATTTGAAGTCCAGTTTAAAACCTTTGGGATGCATGACGGGAAAAGCAACGATGTACCAGTCGTATTTTAAGGTCGTTTGGGACCCAGACAAGGAATGTTCTGCTTATTCCATTGAACACAAACTCTCGGAGTCTCTGCTTATTAGTAGGCCCGACCCATTCCAGGACCGAGGAGCCACCATTGACAATGCTTATGTGGATGTTGCAAGTCATGGCCCCAGTCGGCCCTAGTCAGCTGTTCTTTCCGGGTTGGAAAAGTTGCCAAGATTTCGGAACCAGGTTGGTATTCGGACACAGCGATCCTGATTGACCCGTACAGCCCAGCACACAAGTCACATACACGTTGTTAAGTCGTAGCCAGAATCTCCAGCACACTTGATCCTGTCGCTGTGCTACTTTACCACAGCGAACCAACATAAGGAAGTGTGATGAACGGTAAAATTGGTGTCTACACCAGTGGTGGCTTGGGTGCTGCGCTGACATGCCATATGAAGCTCTGGTCTTTTGGACGAGAACAGTTCGTGCCAGCGGAAGCTGCCGTGGCTGCAAACTGGAGCTATGGTAATATTTGTGACATTGTTTGACGGACAGCGACCTTGCAAAACTTAGGTTCTCTTGGCAGCACAAGGATTCGATCCTGCTGATTTTATCTTTTCGGACCGCGACTACAAGATGTACAACCGCCTTGCAGGAAACAGCATGAGCACTGCCGTTGCTGGTGCATGTGTTATGGCTTTGAGACTCGGCATTGCATCTTGACAAGTTTCCAACCGGAGTGCCAGTTGGGTTCTCCAGTTCTGCACTCGCAGTCTTGCACAGTGCTGTTGCAAGTGGTGCCACAGCGTCCCAATCCCGCACTTCCGTTCTTCACCTGTGTTGTTCCCCCCACACAAGGATCATTTATGTCTTGGCTCGTCGACCTGATGGACGGCTCCGTAGCATAATATAGAACGATGGCTGTCGTGCTTTGGTTCGGGGGCCATTGGCGCCGAGGGCTTGCGAACCTAAGTGGGTCTTTGTGGAGGGGTCGAACGTGTCGGTCTGCTCAATTCTTATATTGAGAATGAAATCTCAGCTAAGCAGGTGTTGCATCTGAGGCATCTTCGAACCCTTCCTCTTTGCTATGGGGAACGGATCGAATCTCCTGACATGTGTGCAGACTGCCAGTCAAGTGACACCGAGTCTTCTTCGAGCATGGAGGAAGCAATGAGCACCGACGAGGATCAAGAATGCACCGAATCAAGTGAATCGGGAAGTTCAGAGGCTCGCCAGTCGCCTAGTGCAATGGACTGGGACTCGGACGAGACATTGATCTTGGGGCAGCATCTTTACTGATAGCTTATTTTCGGCCTTGCGAGCCCGTGTTCGTGATTGTCATTCACTCCGGGAGTTTTGATGAAGAGCTGTGCCGAGTGATTTTGTGTGCAGTAAAAGAGGCATTGGCCGCGCTTGCGTGCATGTGAAGCTGGTTTGGGGCTGGCTGCTTTTTGAAAGTCTGCATTGGTCATTGTGAATTTAGGATACTGCCATTCCCGTGCTGTCGCACATTGAACGTTGTCACTTGTCAGCTGGCTGTTGGCTTGACGGACACAGCACCGGACAAAGAGGGGTGTTGTTATGAGGCTTGCAACTTAATACAGGCCAACTCTTGTACAAGTGATTTTGGTTTTGCCATGTCGGACGTCGAAGAAAACTACGGTGACCTCAGTTGTGACCTGTGCAAACAACCGTTTGGAGAGGACGACAAGGACAGTGCCGGGTTGAATTCTTAATGTTTTTCAGTTCAATCTGGCCACACTATGTCACTGTGATTTGACAGATGTGATGTGATGTGTGGTATGCGAATCTGTGAACAAACCTGAGAAGTCTTGCTGCAGGACAAGCCTCCTTCGATCAAGGATTTCGTTTCGGTTGAACGGGCTTTTGCAACCTCGGGAGTTTGCAAGCCATGCTACTACGTGAAGCGTGGATCTTTTCAAAAATCCAAGCAGCGTGCATTGTCAGCGGCCATGGAAGAGCACCCAGCAGTCAAAGAGAAGCTGCTTGTCAGACCTTCGCATGTTTTCATGCCTGTCACCCTTTCAATTCAATCTTTCCCAAGTTGGTGGTTGTGGCCTAACGACTTTGCTTGGGTTGGGTGCCATGACTGGAGTTGCATGCGCCCATGTTGCTGCTAATGGTTGAGAAGTTGCACAGACAGTGTCATTCGCAGGTTTGATGCCCTGCGCTCATCTTTCGTGCAAAACCAGACGTTGAACCCCAAGAAGAAAGCCAGACACGAGCGGTGCAACCTGGAGGAATTGGTGAAACGATCGCAGGAAGACTACGTAGACTTCCAAACAGCCACTTGCAATATATAAGCTAGCGTTTTTGTTGCTGTGCGGTACGGCCTTTTACTGTGTAGGCTGTAGGCTCTAGTCTCACAAAACTCCATATCGTGCATCAGTTTTCTGCACACATGTCGCTCCGCAGTTGCTTCAAGCATAAAAGCTCATGAAATTGAACGATGAACTATAGAATTTAGAATTGTTTCGCTTATTGGGGCGTGAAAGGCCATGTGCTATACCAAATGTTGTTTTGCTGATTGGGGGATTAAGCCACGACCGTTAAATTGAACTATAGAACTGTTTCGCTTATGGGGGCCTGAAAGCTCATATGTTTCGATAGTGCATGTTGCTCTGCTTATTGTGGGATCAATCCAAGATTCAAGAGATAGTCATGTGTATCGTCCAGAGTTCCATTGAACTATAGAATTATAGAGAGAGTTGTTTCGCTTATTGGGGCGTGAAAGCTCATGTGCTATACTGCATGTTGTTTTGCTTATTGGGGGATTACGCCACGACTGTTAAATTGAACTATAGTATTGTTTCGCTTATTGGGGGGCGTGAAAGCTCATATGACTCATATGTTTCAATAGTGCATGTTGCTCTGCTTATTGGATCAATCCAAGATTCAGAGATATTCTTGTGTATCGCCCACAGTTGCTTTGAACTATAGAATTGTTTCGCTTATTGGGGCGTGAAAGGCCATCTGCTATACTAAATGTTGTTTTGCTTATTGGGGGATTAAGCCACGACCGTTAAATTGAACTATAGAATTGGTTCGCTTATCGGGGCCTGAAAGCTCATAGGTTTCGATAGTGCATGTTGGTCTGCTGATTGGGGGATCAATCCAAGATTCAGAAGATATTCTTGTGTATCGTCCACAGTTACATTGAACTATAGAATTGTTTCGTTCATCGGGGCGTGAAAGCTCATATCGTTCCGCGGTTGGTTCGTGCATTCCAATGATACCGCTGCCTGCTCCTAAAACTAGCAAAACGCCGACGCCGTTTTCCGGCCTCTAACCCATATGTATATTATATATGTATATATGTAGATCTATATATATATATATATATAATTTATATACATACATACATTCACAAATACACCCATATACGCATAAATACATACATACATACATAGATACATACATACGTACTATATACGACCTAAATACCTAAATGTGTATACTGTATTGTACACGCACTCACACATGTTTTTCATTCAAAGCATAGTAAGCCTCAGGGTTAGTTTCAGGTTTTAGTGTTACATGCTAGATATTTTTGAATAGCCGAGCGTCGCCTTGGGCAACGGTGAGATAAGGAAAAAAACAACAATATCCGAGGTTTCGGAGCTCTTGCCCCTCAAGGAGTTCCTGGAGAAACAGAAGTGCAAAAAAAGCTTCCGGGACGATCGAGAGCGAAAGAAATACATCACACAAACCTTGAATCTTCAGGCTCTCTGGTATGCAGCGAGGGTTGCCGAAACTAGGCGTGTTGGCTGTTGAGAGTATTGCAATGGGATTCGACCATTTCTCTTTATGACAAGGTGCAAAAAGATCCGAAACGGAACATTTGGTGTGTCCCTGTCGAAGACAAGACACTTATGCTATCCGGCCACAGAGTGTCAGCTTCCCGGGTAAAGCAGCAGTCCTTGAAAGACCGTGCGGATGCAAAGTCAGCCTTCGAGAGTGCGTCGTCGAAGATCCAAGCCAAGACAAATTGCAAGGACTGCTTTTCGTTTCTGTTTATATCTGTGCGTGCATGTCGCGTCTGAATGTCTACTTGGGTTTGTTGCACCTTCTCCAATTTGCTACCTCGCACATATCTGCAGTCCAAGCAGGACGATGTCCACAATGCACATGTTGCTGATGCTGCGGCCGGTGATTCGGAGTCGCAAAGTGACTCGAGCAGTGATGACTCATCGGACTCCAGCTTTGCACAGCTGAAGTCCAAAAAAAGCACAGCGAAGGCCGCCAAGGGTAGTTCTTCAAGCAATTCTGATTCTGATGGGGAGCCTGAGCCTCGGGCATCGACCCCTGTGAAAGAAGTTGCGGCTGGCCGCAACAGAGGGAAGGGCTCAGAGCCTGGCAGTGGCCAGAAAAAGCGCTTGTCCAATGCATCTGCAGCAACGGCAGCTCCCGTGAACAAAAGAGCGAAGAAGAAAACATCCGCTGCAGAAGCGGAGAAGACCTCGCCCAAGGTGAAAGAGAGCGGTGAAGCATATTTTGCATTGCTTCACGAACTGACACCTGATGTTCTGTGGCGCTCATGTGTCCGGACCGCGGAAGTAGAACGACGACTGGGGCGATTGTCATCGATACGCTCTAGCTTGGAGAAAGCCTGCGAGGATGACCCCGACATCGCGCCGCTACTGTGCAAAATCGAAAATGAGGCTTTGCTGGTGGACGGGGTCAGAAGCATCAGCAGGTTGCTTCGAGCAAGCAGCTCGGAAGAGCTGGTGCGGGATTTGACCCAGACCGGGGGCATCGCAGAGTGCTTTCGAGAAGTGAAAGTGGTTGAGCATCTCCTGCCCACCAAGACGTTTGAGGAGATGTGCATCCTGCTCGGACGGAAGGTGGTAGATGCGGCTCGGTCGGTTGTCGTTGCAGCATACCGCAGCAGACCTAAAACATGTATCGAAACAAGCTTGGGCATGAGTTATGTCTTGGGACTGAGTTGAAACAGCAATTGTCCAATATCATTGCATGGCCATCTGTTTGGACAGGCCAAGCCTGAAATCCTCTTCAGCGTTGCCTGCCTGAAGCATGTGGAGCCTGTGGATGCCCAGCAAAAGTGCACCTGGAGTCTTGCACACATGTGGGAGAGGGCAGGTGAGATGGATGGCGAGTTGCAGAAAACAGCACAGGTGCGCCTTCTCCAGGCTCAGGCATCCATGTTCAACGATGTGACGGAGAAGTTGCGTGCAGCGGGATCGTTGCAGAAAATGCAGGTCATGATTCCGCAATCCTTGCGGAGGACTGATTTCGATTCTTCCACCAAGTGGCTTCTTGACGGCATGTCAACTTGAACTTGCATGTCACTCGTGATGGGTGGATTGAAAGCTGCACAGTCTAAGGCTGCCCACTGCAGAAGAGCTTCAAAATGACAGCGCGGAGTTGAGCAACTACGAGAACGAATCTGGCTTTGCGCACACCATCATGATGGACTGCCAGCGGGTTTTGGCTTGTCTTGCAGTTGAAGATGAAGACGAGAAGAGTCGGATCGGCGTGAGTTACTTCGTGATCGTTGCCCGCTGCTCTGGTTTCAGCAAACGGCTGCTGCTTGCGATGAATTCGCAGGCTGAGTGGAGGACTGATTGTGCACAGGTAGAGATTCGAAAGGTGTGCCCGTGTTTCTGCATGGTGTATGCGCTAGCCGTTTTCTTGAAGAGCTCGAGTGGCCTGGTTACAAGAGCGGCCCGGTTAAGCAGCAGTGTGGGGAGAAGCCTGCTGGATGGCAGGAATGGGGCACAGCTCGTGGGGAAATCTTCTGGGTGAATGCATCTGTGAGAGCAGGAGCCCAGACAAAGAACATCACCCTGAGTGCAGTTGCAAGTCCAGCTATCAGTTTTCGGATTTCTTTCGAGTGCGATAGAATATATGCTTCTTCGAGTTTCTCAGTTTTTCACCAACTTCAACTTCAACATAAATAAAAGACTCCCCTGTACTCCCCGGATCCCAGAGTATGGCTCCAGATCTTCGCAATTGTCCCCCACCCCCGCTGGCTCAAACCCTGCATTAAATACTTCTGAGAATGCTCTGACGGTTGCAGAGAGTTGATTGATGGTTCCAAGTCGGGACAAGCTGAAGCAGAGGTCAGTTTTTTGTGTCGCACTGACGGCTCCGGCGAGTTGAAGTGTCGAGAAGGCTTTGACAATTCCACAGGAGTTGTCTCATCGGGCACATGTTAGACTCCAAGAAGAACAAACCACCAGACGACCAGACGACCAGTCTCGCTCTCCTCCTCCGATATGAATATACTCTCCTTTTCGCATTTCCCCTGTCCGTTTTGATCAACTCCAACATAAATAAAAAAACTCCCCCGTACTCCCCGGATTCCAAAAGTATGGCTCAAGATTGGGGATCATTCCCCCCGCCTACCCCCCGCTCCCCTGCCCGGCTCAAGCCTTGAAGGCTCAGAGTGTTTTTCAATGATCATTGGATTGGTGGAAGCCATTTGAAGAGTGATTTGTGAGAATGGGGCTCTTCACAACCACCAGACGACCAGACGACCAGACGACCAGTCTCGCTCTCCTCCTCCGATATGAATATACTCTCCTTTTCGCATTTCCCCTGTCCGTTTTGATCAACTCCAACATAAATAAAAAACTCCCCCGTACTCCCCGGATTCCAAAAGTATGGCTCAAGATCGGGGATCATTCCCCCCGCCTACCCCCCGCTCCCCTGCCCGGCTCAAGCCTTGAAGGCTCAGAGTGTTTTTCAATGATCATTGGAATGGTGGAAGCCATTTGAAGAGTGATTTGTGAGAATGGCTCTTCACAATCACCAGACGACCAGACGACCAGTCTCTCTCTCGCTCCTCCTCCGATATGAATATACTCTCCTTTCGCATTTCCCATGTCCGTTTTGATCAACTCCAACATAAATAAAAAACTCCCCCGTACTCCCCGGATTCCAAAAGTATGGCTCAAGATCTTCGCTTTTGTCCCCCATGCCCACTGGCTCAAACCCTGGAGAATGCTTTGACGGTTTCAGAAAGTTGTGGCTGGTTCCACTTCCAGCTAGATTGTGCTGTCCGCTTGCTCAGAAAAGCAGTGGAGTAGTGAACTTGTGATTCTTGCTCAAGGCCCATGGCCCATGGTGTGTTCATGGTGCATTGCAACAATCCGCTTTCCTTTTCAATAATCGACCATTTCTTGTCAGGAGCCTATGGCAGAAAGTGCTGTCGTTGGAAGTGTCCGTGTCAGCCACGCAAACCACTTTGAAGCAAGGCCGGAGCATCATTGACTTCATTGCAGAGTTCTTTCAGAAGCATGAGCAGCAAGCGCACGACCCCAGCAAGTACGATTGGACAGCTTGGCGCGATCACAGGAATTGGCGGTCTATCTTGCAAAGCTTGGAACATGGTCTCATTGAAGGGGCAGCCGAAGTGGCCAAGGAGCTCAATGCAAAGATGACACAGTTCGAAGCATGGGTGAACGAAAATGTCCTTGAGTTGAACAAGTACAAGGAGATGGTCAAGGGTATGGCGGCTTGGATGGAGGAGAAGGCCGCTTCTCATGAAGATCCATGCACAGAGATCTTAACTTCCAAGGAGCTCGTGCCTCAGAAGCTTCCGGACGTTTCTGACGACGCGATCTTTTCACGGTGCCCTTTGGAACTTTACAGGAAGACTGTCTCATGTTTCTCAGTTTTAAGCTCAGGCGTTTGTATTCCCACGATTGGGCTAGTCCAACGTAACATTTATCCTGTGTCGGTTGAGGCAAGATCGTGTGTGAGTTGGGTTCCGACGACCCCATTGCGAAGTTGCTCCTGGACTGGCGAGAGTTGGCGGAGAAAGCAATTGAAGCTCGGCAAGAGGACTGTGTGGCGTCCGCCCAGTTCTGGAATGCCGTGCTGAGCTTGGCGGATACTGCCCCTGCCCAACAGGAAGGTGATGGCAGATCTTTCATTGCGGCAGTGCAAAGGTACTCCCGCGCTTCTTTGGCTATTGCCCATGCAAAGCTGTTGAAGATGATCTTGGAAGCTGGCCCGGACGTGGACGAGAGCGTCGTGAACGCTCTTGCCGGAGATTGGCTTCCAGTTGGGGCTACCGTGAGGGCTATCAAGAAGAACGACCTTCCCAAGACCCTCCGCGATTGCGGCGATGATCTGTGCCAGCTGGCAGCAACATGCCCATCAATGGAGACCGTTGCTTCCTTCGTTAAAAGCGAGAAGATCCAGTCGGATGCCCTGTTCAAGCACAGTGCTTTCATGAATACATGCGTGGAGTTGCAAGCCAGCTTCATGGCCAGTGTGTCCCAGGGCTTGACGACTGCCCGCGAATCCATTCTTGCTCATGTGAACGGCTTCAGCGAGAAGTTCAAGGATGTTTCCGATCAGGCTTCGCAGATGCAGATGGAGACGGACGACGACACGAGGCATGACTTTGAGTGCTTGAAGGCCACACTGGCGTCGCTGAGGGCAGCCACGGCTGCCTTGACCACTATGAAGGAGGCCACCAGCTGTAAGGACATGACAGAGAAGATTGACAGCTTCCTCAGCGAAGCCACGGCAGCTCGTGAACAAGCTGTCTCAATTGGCTCCTCGGTCCTGGTAGCGCGGGCTTTGGTGAGGCCTCAGGGTGTGGACATGAAAAGCACGATGACGTTTTGCGCCGAGTTCTTCCAGGTGACGACTGTTCCATTGCCGGAAAAGATAGAGGGCAAGGTCATGCAGATCTTGAAGGAGGCGAAGAAGCCTGACAAACGCAAGAGGGCTCAGGCCTGTGCCCGGACAGAGCAAGTGGCATCATGCATCATTCATGCACCTTTGTCAGACATGACAAGGCTGTTTGTTCAGGGTTTTTGAGTGGAGAGGGATCTTGTCGTGCTTCGTGGAAATCCTCCCGCTGGAAGTACCAATAATCATCAGTGTCATCCCTCAGCCGAGCTCTTCGAGCAGGAGTCCCCGGCAATCGATGTGAAGTCAGCAGCAGCAAGTTCTTCGCGGAAGGCAGGAAGCACTACAAGATCCAGTATTTATGGCTGTCATTAATCTTCGTAGGGGTTGTGCAACGTCCTTGACCGACCCAAATCCCAAATATAGAATTGCCGTTGTGTCTTTGTGCCCTGAAACCCGTCACCGATTGAAACGGAGATGGAATGTGAGCTGCCTCGAACCGCTGTGTAGCATTTGTGCTTCAGGGTCACGGTTGGAGTCCCAGCATCGAATCCCAGGGTTTATAAATCCGGAGCCCGAAGCTGCTGAAGCTTGCTTACACACTGACTCGACCGTCACGGACCCTGAGCCTCTGGAGTGGCTATCTAGTTTATTCCGAAGTGTATGCCTTTGGATTCTTCCTTGCTCTAAACCAGAAACCCAAAAATCAAACGCTAAATTAAACCCCTTCTCGCCCCTAACTGAACCCCTAAACCCTGCAAGGTACATAAATGACAGAAACGTTTGAATCACAAAACCGAATGCTGACAGTTCATCGATTTGAAGTTTCAGGTCGCAGCGGTTGCGTTTTGTATTTTGCCAGGCGAATCCTGGCAACCGAGGACACCGAAATTCAGCCGACGTGTCGTTTTAGGAAATGACAGATCGCAACCATGCGTTCTGTATTTTCACAAGCGAATCCCGGCAACCCAGGACTCCGCGTTTTTTGTCGTCGTTCCGTCGTAGTGAGTTCCACATCGCAACGGTGACGTTTTGTATTTTCGCAAGCTGATTCCGGCAATCCAGGCCACCGCATTTCCTCGTCATTTCGTTGTAGGAACATGCAGATCGCAACAGATGCGTTCTGTATTTTCCCAAGCGAATTCCGGTAACCCAGGCCACGGCATTTCATCGTGGTTTGGTCGTAGGAAATTACAGATCGCCACGGTTGCGTTCTGTATTTTCGTAAGCGAAACCTGGCAACCCAGGCCACCCCATTTCATCGTCGCTTCGTCGTAGGAAATTACAGATCGCAACGGTTGCGTTCTGTATTTTCCCGCGAATTCGCGAATCCCGGCAACCGAGGCACCCATTTCATCGTTGTTTCGTCCTAGGAAATTTCAGATCACAACGGTTGCATTCTGTATTTTCGCAAGCGAATCCCGGCAACACGGGCCAACTCGCATCGTCGTCGCTTCGTCGTAGAAAATTACAGATCGCAACGGTTGCGTTCTGTATTTTCCCAAGCGAATTCCGGCAACCGAGGCCCCCCCGTTTCATCGTAGCTTCGTCGTAGGAAGTTTCAGATTTTCCCCAGCGAAACCTGGCAATCCAGGCCACCCCATTTCACCGTCGTGCGGTCGTAGGAAATTCCAGATCGCAACGGTTGCGTTCTGTACTTTCCCCAGCGAATCCCGGCAACCCAGGCCACTGCCACCCATTTCATCGAATTACAGATATTGCAGATTGCAACGGTTGCGTTCTGTATTTTCCCGCGAATCCCGGCAACCGAGGCCCATTTCATCGTCGTTTCGGCCTGGGAAATTACTGTATTTTCGCAAGCGAATCCAGGCCAACTCATATCGTCGTCGCTTCGTCGTAGAAAATTATAGATCGCAACGGTTGCGTTCTGTATTTTCCCAAGCGAATTTCGGCAACCGAGGCCACCCCATTTAATCGTAGCTTCGAAGTAGGAAATTGCAGATTTTCCCAAGCGAATTCCGGAAAGCCAAACCACAGCATTTCATCTTCAGTTGGTCGTAGGAATGTAGGAATAAAATCGCAACGGTTGCGTTCTGGATTTTCCCCAGCGAAACCTGGCAATCCAGGCCACCCCATTTCACCGTCGTGCGGTCGTAGGAAATTCCAGATCGCAGCGGTTGCCTTCTGTACTTTCCCCAGCGAATCCCGGCAACCCAGGCCACTGCCACCCATTTCATCGAATTACAGATATTGCAGATTGCAACGGTTGCGTTCTGTATTTTCCCGCGAATCCCGGCAACCGAGGCCCCCATTTCATCGTCGTTTCGTCCTGGGAAATTACTGTATTTTCGCAAGCGAATCCAGGCCAACTCATATCGTCGTCGCTTCGTCGTAGAAAATTACAGATCGCAACGGTTGCGTTCTGTATTTTCCCAAGCGAATTTCGGCAACCGAGGCCACCCCATTTAATCGTAGCTTCGAAGTAGGAAATTGCAGATTTTCCCAAGCGAATTCCGGAAAGCCAGGCCACCGCATTTCATCTTCAGTTGGTCGTAGGAATGTAGGAATAAAGTCGCAACGGTTGCGTTCTGCATTTTCCCCAGCGAAACCTGGCAATCCAGGCCACCCCATTTCACCGTCGTGCGGTCGTAGGAAATTCCAGATCGCAACGGTTGCGTTCTGTACTTTCCCAAGCGAATCCCAGCAACCCA